CCTTACCCATTACCCGCTAAGGCTTATAACCGTAAGCCAAAAACCCAAACCTTGAAACGTCCGGGTGCAAAAGAGGGAGGGTTTGACCAGATGAGGTGACCAAAAGGTTTCAGGTTTTGAGACTAAGTCAACCCAGCGGGTTTTTCGCAGCTCTTGGCCGCTATTTGCCGCTAATGGCTTTCCCTATGATCCCAAAAGGTCCCCAACAGTTTCCACGTAAAATGGGGGGCTTCTTGGGGGTTCGGGATTTCGACGATTTAGGACTCAGGCTTTTGGGATGCAGGGCCCGGGCCGGCTGCGGGCTCAGATGAGTAGTCTATGTGGGGGTTTCCGAAAATAGGGGACCCTAATATAGTACCCTGAATAGTAGGATCCTTATTATAAGGACCCCAGAGTAAGGTACCCGAATTTTTCGGAAACTCCCATGTAGTTTCGTTGCAGCCCCAACTGGAAGCAAACATTCCGGCTCGGCAACTGCCCAGTTCTTCTTTTTTGTGGTTCCTTAGATAGCCAATGGGAGAACTTTAAACTTTGTGGCTTTATATATTAGGTCTATCCTAAAAAGTTTGAACTTTTGTGGGCCTGGTTGTTGAAGAAGAGAGGTTCAGGTCTCTAAGTATGTTAAGAAGTGTTTAATTTAGTTAGGCATTGTATGAAACATGAAAGACATTAAGTCTAAGGCTTGCGTCAGCCATTGAGTATTTGCACTCTCCAACACCCCAGATCCCATTTCCTCTGAGAGTTCTGAACCCTAAACCCCTAAACCCCTATTCCCTAAACCGGTTCTGAACCCTAAACCCCTAAACCCCAATACCCTAAACCCCTAAACCCCTATACCCCAAAGCCCTAAACCGCAGAGGCCCCGACCTTGTACCGGCTGAAGGCCAACAAGTATGCACATTGCTACGGTGCTCCGTGCAGGGCTCAGGTCGGCTTGGACCCTGGCAGTGCCTTCGGGGTTTGGGGCTGGCGCAGGATTCAGGCTAGCGAGTTTAGGATTTAGGGTTTAGGGTTTAGGCTGAGGAGGGTGTGTCGGCATAGTGGTTTCAAAAGATTGAAAAAACTGGAATCCAGTGTTTCCTAAACCTCGAGCCCTTAAGCCCTAATCCCCTAAACTCCGAAACCCCTTGTTCCGTAGCTCCCATCTCACCCGCCTTCGAGGCAACGTGGAGCAGGGCGCAGCTTACAGCACTTGGCGCCCTACCTGGCCGGTGCTGTGCTGGCAGGCGTCTTCAGAAGAGTTTTGCTTTCTGTTCGGGGGTTGTGGTCTAGCAGTCTAGCCCTTATAAGGGTCCATGTGCCCAAGTAGTATAGACTTTGGCCCCGACGTACCTGCAGGTACTTTGGGGCCAAAGTGTATACAGTTAGGGCATTCCTCAATTTCTCCATGCAGCATAAACCTCAACATGCCCTCAAATTCGTAATCCCTTTGAGGCCAATTGTTTTTTTTCAGGATCGTACGTAATCCCTGGCAACTACACCCCACACTCTATACATGCTGTTTTCTTTCTATCAGCGTAGAAAACCCGACAGTTCACGACTTATGACACTGAATACTATATGTGCCAATTTTCCTTGACTGAAACGTACAAAAACCCGTCAATCAAACGGGAAAGCTTCGGTCTCGAGGCTTGGCAGTGTTCTTTGTGGTGATTCCCGTGAGCTTCAACCGGAGCTATGAAGCTTCCAAGAAGCGCTACGAGGAGCAACTGGCTTTGAATCGTAGTATGGAGGCCTCCGAAAAATCCGAATAGGGTGCAGGACACATATTGTATGACATGGTATACATGCAACTATAATCGTAAGGAGCCCTACGGCACAATATTGGTAACTATTGAGGCTTCTGTAGTAGGCTTGTATTCGGGTTGGCGGTTTTAGGGCTTTAGGGTTTTGAGGATTTACTGCCGTGGAGCTACTGCTTTCGGAGTCTATAAATTCATAAAACTGAAGGTTTTTAGGGGCTAAGGCTTTAATTCTTTTAGCGGATCCTGCTTTGGGGCCCTAAACCCTAAACCCTAAACCGATTTTGGGGGTGTTCTACTTTGTCTTGGCCAGGGGAGTCTCGGGATTGGTTGGAGTCTTTGGGCTTAGCATGGTTACACTGCAGGGCCTCGGTGAATAAGAAACGGGCCGGACGAATGAGGGGTTTAGGGCTTAGGGGTTTGGGGTTTAAGGTTTAGGGTTTAAAGGGTTTAGGGTTTAGGGGTTTAGGGGTTTAGGGTTTAGGGTTTAGGGTTAGGGGTTTAAGGTTTAAGGTTTAGAGTTTAGGGTTTAGCAACAGTGTGTCCCGGTCGTATGTCCTTGTCGTATTCATGAGCCTACAGCACGACCGTTGATCATCGCACAGTACATATAGTCTCCGTTGTAGTACGTTGTTTGGTTCAACCACTCTCACGCACAGTATCCTGTAAAGTAACAGAAAAAGGAAATGCCATGGACACTATATAAGTATCAGCAGGCCAAAATATCCGAGCAAGCGTAGTACTCCTGTTAGACGCTACAGCGTCTTCATTCTTGTAATGCCGCCGGGGTGCCATTACGTTGGCCTTGCCCCCTAAACCCTAAACCCTAAACCCTAAACCCTAAACCAAATCATCATAAGAAACTCACCCTGAAAAGGTAGGTTAGTTGGAGTCCAGAAAGCCCTGAGTCCTAAACTCCAAAGCAATGCTAGGTTCCCCAGTAGTACCCTTTTGCCCTGTTTCTTTTTTGGGTTCCCTTATTAAAGCCCAACTAGTAGGAAAAAGGGCCACCCTTATTACTAAGGGGCTACTGGGGAGCCCCAAACCCAAACCTCCTACACCCTAAACTGGGAACCCTAAACCCACAACAAGTAAGCCCTAACCCCTAAACTTCTAAACTCTAAACCTTGCCCTCAAACCTTAGCCCACAAAGCCGAAACCCTCCCCCAGAAAGCCCAAGACCTTAGGAGCCTTAGGGTAACCATAATAACCAGAACCCGGAAGTCGTCAAGCAGCACGATCCCTCGGCCGGATGTCCATCGCCTCGGTTCACGTAGCTCTGAGAGCCGAAGCCTAATAATCCGAAAGCCCCTTTTGGAACACGGGGAAGCTCCACCACATCAGCGGCGGCGACTATGTCTCTGCTGTCTTTCTTTATCTTCCCTTTCTCTCTTGTCTGAATTAGCCACTGGAACTAGCTAAGCTGTCCTTGCTTAACGTGTTATTGGTGACACTGCCATATCCCTGCCGTCTTCCCACGAAGCCACCGAAACCTTAGCCCTTTCAGGGCCAAAAGAAGGTCACTTCCCGAATACGGGTCAAGGCTTTGGAATCACAGATATCATTTCCAGAACTCAGTTCCTGAAAAAAGACTTGCAGAAATGCAGGACATGCAGGGTCCAGGGTTTAGGGGTTAGGGTTCAGGGTTTAGGGTTCAGGGTTTAGGGTTCAGGATTTAGGGTTTAAAGTCTGGTTTTATGGGGATTTCTAGGTCTCTCAGCGGACCCTTTTCACTTTTTATGGTTTTCGGTTCCTTTCAAAGCAACCCAGCACCAAACAGGGAGCCCTTGTTTATTCTTCCGTTCTTGGCAATAAGTTATTGGGGACCCTAAGCCTTTAACCCTCAACCCTAAACTCCCGAACCCAGAACTTTTAAAACATTGGGGGCGTGAGCCTTTCGACTGTTGAATACTGAGGGGTCCAGGATGAGGGTGTGGGCTTTCTGGCGGTGGTTTAGGGGTTTAGGGTTTATAGGCTTAGGGCTCAGGCGTCTCGAAATTTCGAACGAACCATCCGAAAACGAATCATACACCCCCCGAAGAAAAAGAATCACCCACCCGGAAGAGCGAACCCCAAAATCCCAGGTAATCAACCCAATCTGCCGACTCCAAGCCGTTCATCTGCGATCCAAATGACTCTGAACCGCTGTAAGCCCTATAAACCCTCAGCCCTGAATCCGCCCCTGGACTCCCGACTACCCTATGCTATGGCCCAAGCAGCTTCGATGCAGAGCCACAGGGGCGCTATGAACCGGTCCGGGTAACCCTTAACCCGTTAAATCGCTCAACCTTAAATCCGAAGCCTGAACTAAGAACTATCCATAGGCCGCATAGTAGGTCCTTTTTGTGGTTGTCCTTATAGGATTCTACATATGAGCCCCCCAAAAGGAACTACTATGGGGCCTATGGGTAACCCTAAACTCCCTAAGCTTCGGCAGACCCTGGTTTTACGGCGTGAGGATTTCGCGAGGAAGAATTCCGAGCACGCGGAGATGCTGGAGCGACAGTTCGACAGGCAGATTAGACTCTAGTTTAATGTGGGGGCCTAAAAAAATTACCTATAGTATTTTGGGGGGTTCCTTATTATAGTTCTAGTATAATGGACCCCAAAACCCTATTCTAATCATGAAGACCCCGACATTAGCTTGGGCAATGGCAGTGCTTGTAGATTTCCGGGCAGGTTGCATGTAGAAGGTCATGCCGGCTGTGGCGCTTGAGGGCCCAAAAATGTGAAGGCTAAGTATCCGGCTTCGGGCTATCATCAGGCTCTCTGGAGTCCATATTTATATTTTAAAGGTAATTTTGCGTCCAAAGACCACACTAAGTATTTCAAGCTTTTTGGGGGCTATTTTGAGACATCGGCGTAGACGTTTTGGGCTTTGAGGCTTCCGGGATCGCGGGCTTCGCGCTGCAGGGCTTTCAACATTGACAAGCATTGGCCCCCTGGTAGTCCAAACCTAGCCATACTAGGACCCTAAACCCGAAGGTAGACCCCAAGACTTCTGTTCTAACTATTCAGGCCTAGATATATACGTATTACACATAGCAGGGCTTCGGGTTTTGCTTTCGGGCTCATAAGGTTGGGTTTGCCTGTGAGGGTGTAAGTGGCTGCGGGAGGGTTGATCGTCGATCGTAGGGTTTCACGGTTTAGGCTCGTTATGGATGTAAGCGGTAACTTTGTACTGTCATGGGATTCAGGCCGTTGGCGGTTAAGGGTTTAACGTGTAGTGCATTCCGGCTGTAGAGTGTTTTCTCCGACTTAGGCAAGGGCTCCTGGATACCTTGAAGGTTCTCGACTGGGGGTGCTTTGAGGGCTCAGTATGAGGTTTTTTCATGTTTGGATGGTATCGGCGGTATAGGGATAGGATAGGGTGTCAGCTGCAGTACAGCAGGGTCTGGGGGTTGTGAATTTAGCTTCAAGACCCGGGGTGGTAGCAGCTAGGCTTTAGAATTCTTGAGGTTAGGGGCACTAGTCACTAGTTTTGGTGGATTCGGGTTCTTGGGTTTGTGGTTTTGGTTCAGTGGGTTCGTGTGCCTCGCTCTTCCTCTGCCACGAGAGCGGGAAGAACGAACATTACTGAGCAGGTATCTTTGTGTTCTTTCGCTCTATCTCTCAACCGATACGCTCTGAACCCTAAGCCCTATACCGGCCCTAAACTGTTAGCCCTCTCTCTCTCATTCAGCCGTGGCATCCTAGAACACCCTGGCAAGTTCCACTTAGCTTAGCGGTTTACCCCACATATGAATATGTGTAACAAGCCTTCGGGGAGCTGGCAGCCTGCCTTTGCGGCACATCCTTCCATACACATGCGGGTCCTTCTAAAAGATCTAGAAGTCCCTTTCAAGGGCGAACCCACATTTCAGAGCAGTCAGGTATACTGAAGAATTCTGCACCCCTTGGCAAGCAAGCACAGAATGCCAAGTTGAGGTCTTCGTGCGCGACCCCGGGTCACTGATCCCAAAAACCCTGAACCCTTCCGAGTGCGAGCGCCGAAACCCAAACCCAATTCCGTGACTCCGAAGTTCAGGCGTCGATAACCCCTGCAATTCTCTAGCAACTGCAACCTGAAATGTCCAGCTAGCCTCAAAGGGCCCAGAGTACCTGTATAGTAGAATGTGGGGCTTCTATATTCGGATTTAACATGCTGATTTGGGAGAGTATCAGCCACAACAGTACCCAGGCCCACCAAAATCCGAAGCCTCAAGCGCAGATAAGCCCTAAAGCACAAAGCCTGGCCATCCAAACCGTAGAGAACCCTATAGCAGGACCCTTCAAGAGGTATGCTTCCTCACATTGCGAAGCCCTAATCCCTAACGCCTGTTGCGGTCGAAGCCACAAACCCGAAACCAAGCCCTAAACCCTAAACTTGCTCAAGTTAGAAGGCCCTATGCCCTAAACTCCAAATCCTGCAGCCCTACAGACAAAGCCTCAACTCCGTAAAAGGGACCCAAATGGAATTCTTAAAGGACCCCCCTGAAATGGTAGAATTCCCCGGCCAAATCTGATCGAAGGGGCCAGTTCTCGCGGCGGCGCGAGTGAGTGCAGTGAGTGGTGGTAACCTGGGTGTTCCAGGAATCGTAGTAGTAGGTTACGTATCCTGTCCACCTTTTTGGCAAAGGCTACTCTTCAGTTGCCCCACGATGATAATCACCGGACAAGCAAAGAATCCTAGTTCCATTTGGGGGTTGCCGCAAATAGGGGACCCTAATATAGTACCCTAAATAATAGGTTCCTTATTATAAGGACCCCAAAATAAGGTACCCTAAATTTCGGAAACTCCCATTTGAAATTCTGTTCATTTTTGTCTCCAGCCGACTTCTTCGGCTCGCTCGGTTCCGCAGATATGGGCAGAACTTGCGATCCAAAAGAGCAGACGACAAAAGGAGAGGACTAACAAACGGGCACGAATAAGTACGAAAACCATTCCCTAGAGTGTCCATGTTTATACTCTGAAATATACCCCGCGGAGCTGTCATAGGCGTGCCAGGTGGGGAATTACAATCCCAAAGACCTTACAGGCACTACTAGCCCATACAAAGCTCATTGTAGTCTGTGTTATATCTCAAAGACTCTGATCTAGTTGCACTTTTTTACAAGATCCCAACGACTTTAACTTTGTTAGTAAAGGCACCATCACAAGATCCCTAATGAAGGCACTATAATATAAGATCCCAGAGGCCTTACTCTATTTAGTATATAGAGGCACTACAATACCCATAGGCCCACAGGTGGTTCGTTTTGGGGGTTCATATATAGAATCCTATAAGGTAATCCCAAAAAGGAACTACTACGGGGCCTATGGGTAGAGCCCATGGGATTCGCATCGGATTGTCGGGCGTGCGACTCCAGGGTTTCGTGTGACTCCAGGGTTTCGAGCGTTTTGAGGGCTTCATCCGGTTTGGGGGGTTGAGGGATTTGGGGTTTTGGGGTTTTGAGTTGAGGGCTTAGGGTTTTGGGTTTTCGGCTTTTGGGTTGAGGGGTTTAAGGTTTGGGGTTTATGGGTTAAGGGCTATTGGGTTCACCTGTTCATCGCTTCAGTTTAAGTCGAAGGGTAATAAGATGATCCGGCTTCTTCTGAGTATGCTGAACCCGAACACAGACACGGGAAGAATTACTGGTAGTACCACCTTATGGCCCCATACTGTTGATGGACAAAATTCTGCATGACCCAAATATAGTATAGTACCATAAATCCCATAGGTTAGGTACATAAGGTCATGCAGGATTTTGTCCATCAGCCGTATGTAAGCACTAGTACAGCATACCCCAAAACCAGATTCTAGCCATCACGGGCCTTACATTAACCAGGTTGACTTCGACTCAAGATCCTCATCTGGCATTTTCCTGTTTCTTTGGGGGGTACTTAGAAATAACTTTCAATCTTTGGCTACTATAAAGCCTAAGAAGCAGCTAACATTTTAATTTTGCTAGGGGTCTAAGTTCAGCATAGGTTTAGCTGTTCAGAGTTTAGGGCTTCGGGCCGAGGTTGACCTTGAGCAAGTTTGGGACTTGGGTCTGGAGGACCTTACCCTAAGGGTCCATGTACCCAAATAGTGGAACATTGGCCCTAAAGTACCCATATAGGGACTACATTAAGGCCAATGTTCTACTATTTGGGTACTTGAACCCTTAGGGTTATTCGTTGTTTTGTGTGTTCAAGCGCTGCCTCTTTTGTTGCGCGCGCATGTGCGGGAACGCCCTGTGCTGTGAAGGAAGGTTCAGGGGTTTGCGGGTTTGGGGCTAGGGCGGAGGTGGACCCGTGAAAAGCCCCTTCCTTTTCGATTGTACGTAGGAAGTTTTATGTTGAAACCGCATAGAGCCGCCTAGAGGCCGACTCTCCAGCATAGACTCATAAGGCACATATAGTTACATAGAAACCAACCCTTATATAAGCCCTGAGCCCTACCAACCCTGAAGCCTAAAACCCTAAACCCTAAACCCTAAAACCCCTAACCTTAAACCCAAACCGTTAAGGCAGCCCGGCTTCGGTTATAGGGTTCAGGGATGCCAGCAGGGAGAAGGCCATCGATGGCGCAGGAGTCATCCTCCACGTAAGTAGTCGAGTAGGTGACCTTTAAGCTGTTTTGGGCTGCTTCAATCCCCACATCGATCCCTTTATAACTATGTAATCCCGGAGGTTTCCATTTAGTTGCCCTAGGATACTGGACAAGTAGGTCCTCCTCCATTTGAGCAAGACACTTTGTCGCTTGCACTCCCTAGTCCGAACGAGCCGACTGAAAGTCATATGTTCGAGCAGATGTCTGCGCTCAGACAGCGCAGTGGCGCTCTCCCTTAAAGTCTACGACTGCGCCTATTTAACGCTGCTTTTGTGCAGGCCCGCAAGAAGTCAGCCGAACGATTGACTCCGCCGGCAGCCGACAGCAACGCTGCCGGAAAGGCAGTCGCAGCGGATGTCAGCCCTCCCCGTGACTCAGAGGCCGGTTCTAGTTCGGGGGCTTATGGGGCTTTTGGGGTTTGGCTTCGTGGTCTTAGTGGGTGCATGTGTGTTTAGTTGTGGGGTTGTAGGGCGGTATGCTTTTACCAATTCGGAATGTTGAAAGATGGTCTCACATGCACCATGTCAGTAAGCAGGCATGTGTGCAGGTAGGTCCTCATGTCGATGACTTTGGTGCTATCTGCACGTAGTTCTCCGAAGCCGATTCGAGATCTTTAAGTCGCTACGCGAAACCAGCCATGGATTGAAACAGCTTATACTCTGTGACCCTCTGTTTCTGTTTCTGGTAAAGTTCGGAATCATTACAGTGTTCCTTGAGATGAGCTAAATGATTAAGTACTTTGCTTCGAAGTTTCGGAATTTGTCCATTCCGACCAACACACAGATGCAAAATCCTGATTCTCGTGCAGGTCAGGGCTGGTAGTTGGCAGCTTTTTACCCAGGGCTCGGGGATAAGGTGAGGCTGAGACTGTTCTGTTGGCATCAAGCGCGGTGCTTGAGCTCCTGTTGCAAGAATATTCAAGTTTCAACACGGCAGCAGTAGTAGCCCGAATAGCAACCAAGACGGCAGGAACTGTTTAGCTCTGTATCCTGCATAGCTGCACATTGCATTAGGGACGTGGGTGATGCAGTGTTGCACCACACTACCCACCTCACCAACTACCACAGCACTGGAACTGCTTAAGTTAAAGGTCTGAACGAGCAATTAGGAATGCTATCCCCTTGTTTCGCGAGTAAATCCAGAAATAAAAGGCGCCCCACAGCCTCATTCCAGCAGTTACTATAAGGCCCCAACATTGCAGGAACCTGTTCTACTTACCACTGGTCTTTGGTAATCTCTAGGCAGACTTTCCAGAGGATGCGGGGCGGAGCCTGAGAGCGGTAATAAGGGTTTAGGGTTTCAGGGTTTGATTTAGTGTTTGGCTGCCAGGCAGGCACAGATTTCGGTATAGGACTTCAGGGGTGTTAGGGCTACGTGGGGCCCATGAATATAGGGGCCTTAATAATTGGAATAGGTTTTGGGGGGATATTCTACAATAACCATAATAAGGAACCCACAAAACCCTGTCCCAATTATTAAAGCCCCTACATTATAGGGTTTAGAGAGCCTCAAGGGTTTAAGGCATGTCCGGACGCTTCGGCAGTAGAGCCCGTAGCCTAGACGCCTAAGGCATGAATCTCTGAGCCAGAAGAGCGTCACAGGTGCCCGATCCCGTCAAAGTGCTCTCCATCGACGAGGAGGCCACACCTTAAGTCTCGAATATAATTAGGGTTTAGGGTTTACAATATAATACACACCAAAAACTTGAACCAACACCTCTAACTAGCAAGATCCCACCGTTACTTGCTAGCTGAAGCGTAAGCCTTGACAGCCGCCGCGCATCAATGAGTTTAGGTCCTGGATCTCCACTGCGAACTTGGTCGGTCGGATTGTCTGTTGGTTGGTTGGTGGGAGGGTGGTCCGGGATGGGAGGCTTGGTTGGTTGGTTGGCGGGTTGGGTTGGTTAGCTGGCTGGCCGGCGGGTTTGTTGGTAGGTTCTTACTACTGTGTTCATAATTCTTTTGCTGTTGAGCAGCGGCGAGCAGTAGAGTCATTGTGTCCTGACAGGGGGGTCGGGGTACAGGGCGTAGGATGCCAGGTTGTGCAACTCAGCATCCACAAAGCTGGGTCCGAAATTCCACATCTCAACAACATGTATGCAGTTCTGACTTATCAGGGGTATGACTTTGTCAAACGACCCTATCATCCCTAAACACGAAGCCCTATACCCTAATCTCCAAACACAAAGCCCTAAACACTAAACCCTAAAGCCCTAAACCCTAAACCCTGAACACTAAACCCGACCTGATGAGCCACATGTGCTCGCCGTCGCACCTGGATCAGGCTCGCCTGCATTGTCAGAGTTTTTAGAGTCCAAACCCTCATCCCTAAGCCCTACACCCTAAACCCTAAACCCTAACCCCTAATTACACCCTAAGCCCCACACCTTAAACTCCAAACCATAAACCCTAAGCCCTACACGCTAAACCCCAAACCCCAAACCTTAAGCTCTACACCCTAAGCCCTCTACACGCTAAGCCCTACACCCTAAACGCTAAACCCTAGACTCTATGCCCTACGGCCTACACCCAAAGCCCTACACCTAAACCCCCAACCCTGAACCCTAAGCCCTACACTCTAAGCCCTACACCCGAAGCCCTACATCCTAAACCCCAAACCCTGGACCCTGAGCCCTACGCCCTACACCTTAAGCCTTACATCCTAAACCCCAAACCCTAAACCCAAAGCCCTACACGCTACCATCCATCACCGTACCTGCAACATCTTTCCGAGAGCCCTCAAAGACCCTGAGCTGATGCCGATCCCGAGAGCCAGTGATGTATTAGCCGGCCATAAAGGGGCTTAGGGCTTGTGGATGGAATAGCTATCAAGAAGAGCTAAGAATTTAGGAGTTTAAGATTACAGTAGCTACAATACAGGCTGAGGTTTGGGGTCACAAGCGCGATGATGAGGACTTAAGGCGTCCGGAGCATTGGTTCGACCATAAGGCTCAAGAGCTGTAAGAGCTTGCCCTGAGGTGCA